TTAACTGACTAAGCCTCCCAGGTGTCCCTATTTGTTTATTTTTAAAATATTTTGTTTTTAAGTAATCACACCCAGTGAGGGGCTCGAACTCACAATCCCAAGATCAAGAGTCACATGCTCTATCGACTGAGCCAGCCAGGTGCCCCTATCCTCCCTTTTAAACACTAATGTTAGCATTTTATGTTGTATACTGTAACAAAATATAATACATATTGTAAACAAATATTTTATATAAATATTTTATATAGATACATTTTATTTGTATCTTTTAAACCTTTGGGTGTTGTTTTCTTTTTATATATAGTAGGTATATGTTATATATGTTATTTTAGATGACCATTTTGGTAGTTTTCAATTAGTTGGTTTAGTGTTACATCTTTATTATGCCTTCTACCTTAAAATCCAATCTGAGAATTGGGGAACCTATCGTCACCCAGGTGTAATTCCTGATCAGTTAAATGTTTAGCAAATATTTAACAGTGGAGAAAATATTCCAGAACAGGAAGTCAAAGAGACAGAGTTGTGGAAGTAGAATGAACAGAAAAAGTGAGTAATGGGGAAAATGGACTCCTAGCATGGGGTCAAAGAGTGGGGCCAGGAATTCTAGGTTATCATGTTGGTCTCTATCTTACAGTTTTCTAGGTGTATTTTCTACTTTGTTTTCTAGACATTGCCCGAGTGTTTAGGGATGTATTGATCATTGGATCACCTTCTCCTTTTTGTTTTGCATCATAGGCAGTTGTAGGGAGGAGGGAGAAGCACCGTGAAGTTGTTAAGAGCCTGGGCTGTAGAGCCAGGCAGACACGGCAGTCTCCTGCAGGTTGCTGACCTTTCTTAAACTGGTTTTCTTCATTATTCTGGTTATTTATTGCTTCCCAACAAATTACCCCATCTTAGTGGCTTAAAATAACAACATCTTAATCTCTCTCATGGTTCTGTGGGTGGCCTGGACTCAACTAGGCAGGCCTCACTCAGAGTCTGTCATGCACCCACAGTCAGATTCTGGCTGGGCTGGAGTCCTCGCAAAAGTTTCTCGCTCACATATCTGGCAATTTATGCTGGCTGTCCACTGGGACTGTAGCCTGGGCCGTCAGCCAGAACACTACTGTTTCCACATGGCTTGGCCTTCCTCACAGGGTGGCAGTCGGGTTCTGAGGATCAGCATCCCAAGGGTGCGAGGCCACCCTTCTCTGATCTAGCGTCAGAAATGTCACAGTGTCTCCTCCACATCCCCCAGATTTGAGGATAGAGAACATAGATCCCACCTCTTGATGGAGGAGTGGCAAAGACACATACTAAGATGAGTATGTGGGATGGGATATCTAGAGGCTGCCCTCTTTCAAAAATAAAATCTTCCACACTCTTTTTTTTTTTTAAAGATGTTATTTTTATTTATTTGACAGAGAGAGACACAGCGAGAGAGGGAACACAAGCAGGGGGAGTGGGAGAGGGAGAAGCAGGGAGCCCGACGTGGGACCATGACCTGAGCTAAAGGCAGACGCTTAACGACTGAACCACCCAGGCGCTCCCACACTCAGTTTTATTTA